TATGGGGCGCCAAAGCTGACAAAATAAAAATGGTTCGTGATATAAAGTATATTAAAATTTACCCCTCTGATATAAGATATGATACGCGAGGTAGCTCGTGATATAAAGTATAACTTATGTACACATCAATATATAGGATATAACCTTACTGACACAATATACAGAGTATACTTTAACTGTCCGCGATATAGGTTATAGAAATAGACTGGGGCGAGTTTTTAATTATTCATGTACTGCCATTTTAAAGTTCACTTCCGGCTTTGAAATTTAATCAGGAAAATTAATCAGTAATAAATTAACGAAATGAGTTAACGCGGGAAATGTAGTAAATACTAAATAGATTAGAAGATATTTTAGCATCATGGCGGAAAGAGAAATGGCGTTCAGTGGAGAAAGCTCGTCAACTTCGGCGCCTGTAACTGTTGATGATACTAATAATATGAGGACAAGTGTTAATAATGTGGTGAATCACCCACAATTTCGCTCACTTTTGAACGATGCAGTCGGAAGCCGGCAGTACATGAATAATTAAAAACTCGCCCCAGTCTATTTCTATAACCTATATCGCGGACAGTTAAAGTATACTCTGTATATTGTGTCACTAAGGTTATATCCTATATATTGATGTGTACATAAGTTATACTTTATATCACGAGCTGCCTCGCGTATCATATCTTATATCAGAGGGGTAAATTTTAGTATACTTTATATCACGAACCATTTTTATTTTGTCAGGTTTGGCGCCCCATAGAATGTGGCGTACTATAAAATATAACTTTACTAGTGGGCATAAACGCCGGAAGTTTCCCTTTAGCTCGGGGCCAGGCTTAATTTCCACACCAGGCTTAAAATACGCACGTAAAACTTTAAATTTGTAAAATAACCAAATAAATAAAGCAACAGAATTTACTGCTCCGCAAGTTTTAGTATGAATTTGTTAACTTATCAAAGTTTTACGTGCGTGTACGTGCGTACGAAAAACGCAACAGTGCCAGTGGAAATCAGCCTTTAGATCTTAACAGTAATGTGCGTCAGTTGTGTATCCCCAGCGAGTTAACGCTCCACAGAGCGTCTTGTTTTTTGTTTAAAATTGCTAAAATTTAACAATAAACAGCGTGTTTTCTTACTATTAACCTAAGATGTGGTCCGTATATAAGCCCCCCCCCGTATATAAGCCCCCCATGTATAAGCCCATCAAAAAAGGCTTATGAAATTATATAAGCCCAGGGCTTATATTCGGAAGTTTACGGTAGTTGGAAACTATACTTACTCTATATACTAGTTGGTAACACCTAGAACTAAGACGAAATTATCTAAAATCTGTTTTTATGTATAAAATTCTGAATAACCATCACCACATCAAATCCAAGAACATCTTTCGATTGAATATTAAAGGTGATAATACCTATGCATGATCTTAGAAATAGAGAAATCGATTTGTCTCTTCCTAAACCGAATACCGATTTTGGTATATTCGTAGTCTAAAATCACACACCTCATGGAAATCAGCTCTGAGTTGTTGAGGCCAGCGTGCATAAATACATTTTTGTATGTATGACTGTATGTATGAGAAAATTGACATCACAGTTGACGTGATCAGCCGAGCTAGTGAAGGACTCGCTATATCGTCTGGCCTCGTGTTAACCTAGGACCAGGTTGTTCATAGGTGGATTAGCGCTAACCTTAGGTTAGAGTAGTATAATCCGCTCTTTTGGTTCGTGTGTTTCTTCATGTTCGTTTGTTTCAGAGTTTTTGAAAATAAAACTTCTTTTCACATGCTTTCTGGAAAAATATCTCCTTGTTTATAACCACTAATTGCAAGCTGTTGGGATACTCAATTTGAAGCTTCTTCTTAACCCAGGATTAAGCTAGCCGCAGGATTTCGAACAACCGGCCCTAATAAGAAATCCCATGAGGGAGTCAATGTTTTACACAACTCATGATATTCTTAAGCCGGTTTTCCACTAGGCGGAATTTTGCGCGCGGAGCGAAATTTCCCTTTGTCTTTTCTAATTAGTTCCACCCGAGAAATCACAAGACAAAGAAAAATTCCGCTCCGCGCACAAAATTCCGCCTAGTGGAAAACCGGCTTTACTTTACACTTACTTTAGGGTCACATCTAGAAACTAGTCCAGCATTGACCCCTTCATTTGGCCAGTTTATTTTTTGATGAAATTTCTTAAGAATATATATATATATATATATATTATATAGAAAGAAGTTAAATTAAACCTGTTAAAACTAAAACGCTGTTTGACTTTTTCAAAACAATCGCTCTTTATTTAGTTAATTCATTCATATGCAAAGTATATACCTGTTTCTTTTTTAGTTTGAACTTCTCCACCATTTGTAAGAACGAAGAAAAACGAAGAAAGAATAAACCATGGACGCAATATGGCGACAGACATTTTAAACTACATATCAGTACACTATAGATGCTTTACAAGACAAAATATTATTGACTTAAGAACTTATTTAGTCATAACAACGTACTGGGAAACCTGCTCAATAATCCAGCTTAACTTCGCCCGTCAACTTACTTAATTAAAACAAGATGAAAGAATGACATTTGTTTACATAAACTTGTAGCTAAAATTTTGTAATAAACTTGTAGTTAAAATTTTCTAATAAAATTGTAGTTAAAATTTTGTAGCCAGGTAAAGGATTATGATGGTTATCTAAGATACTCTACAGGGTGTATAAGAAAAAGGAGACCTTTAGAAATCAAGCATATTGTTAAAATTTGAATGCCATTTCAATTGCAATATGCTGAACCGTGGTGCGTGAAATATTGATGGAGTGCATATGTTAGAAAAAGGAGACCTTTAGAAATCAACCATTGTTATAATTTGAATCCTGGAGCACTTGGCTAAGCCCACGAGTGCGTAACATGCGATCTACGTACAGTATGCATGGCAGATTGTTCCCAGGAGCAGACAATCTTTTGTTTAAACGTTATTTCAATTTCTAAAGGTCTCCTTTTTCTAATACAGGGTGTCCCAAAAAAAAGTGACACTAATACTCCCTTCTATTTTCCTCTTCCCACCCCAACCACACCAAAAGGTCGATGCCCTTCTCTCAGTTCCTTCGTCTTCGCCGCATCTGCAGTGAAGACGAAGTTTTCAGGCCAAAAGTTTGGAAATGAGACACTTTTTTGTCCAGCGTGGTTATCCTACCTCGCTATTAGACACTGCCTTTTCGAAGGCCTCCCAAATTCCCCGTTCTGACACCCTCACAGACCCCGTGTCTAATGTCATAGGCAACAACAAAATCCCCCTAGTATTAAACTATCATCCTTTCAATTTCAAAGTTAGAGATGTCATCAACAAGAATTTCCACATTTTGAAAAACGATCCTGAAACATCTTCCATTTTCTCCGATAACCCCTTAGTCTCTTTTCGACACAGCAAAAATATCCGTGAAACCCTTGTCCATAGCTCCCTAGCACAGGCTTCGACGTCACAGATACGCACTTTTCCTTGCCTGTCGTCGAAATGTAAAACCTGTGATTTTATAGATTCTACCACTATTGTTTCGGCACCAAAATCTGAATTTCACATCAAGCACCATTTCACGTGCGCCTCCTCCCATCTCATCTACTGCATCTCTTGCAGCAGATGTGGCATGCTTTACATTGGGGAAACTGGAAGATGTTTAAGGACAAGGTTTGGTGAGCATCGGCGTGCAGTTATTGGCAATGATGCTAACCAACCTGTTGCCAGACATTTTAATGATGGCAATCACAGTGTTTCAGATATGTTAATTCGAGCCCTCTGTCCCATTTCTGGAAGCAACGATATAGCCGCAAACGACATGAAATGCGCCTCATATCCAAACTTGGCACTGTTCATCATTCTGGCATTAATGAACGCTTTTCTTATGTTTAATGCCATCAAGACAATCCAGAAGACATGTCTTCTGGTTTGTCTATGATGCCATCTGTCCTTGCCTGTCTATAGCAGACTTTGACAACCTCTATTTATTACTTTTACCCCATTCCCACTCGTGTTTTGTTTTGATTATTTTTTGTAGTAATTGTCTTAGCTTCCTGTTTATTTTTATATTTTTAATTTTATTATATTCTGTAATGCGATTTACATATTTTGTTTTACACTTTGTTATGATTAAATCCATCTAATTGGTTTATTTGTTTTGTCACGTGATGCTTTCATACTCTTAGTATAAAAGCCCGTGCATTTTCCCCGATCCCTGCTGACTAACTCTTGACGAAGGGCCTTCGCTCAAAACGTCGAGTTTCTGCTTATTTTTTAAGGTAGTAATATAACCACTCAGCACAGCATTTTCACATTGGTATTACCAACACTGGTACAGACAGTTTTAGTATATATTCAAATTTTAACAATATCGTTGATTTCGAAGTAGGGCACATTGGGGTGCAATGCAACTTAATTTGTCTAAAGCCAGAGGGGAGAGCGCTGGCTCTGATTGGGTTAAGCAAGAACAGTGACAACAGTGATGTCATCTCCAACATGAATGGGCTATTCAGGGCTTTCAGAATTATTCTGAGTAGGTGTCTGTTTCGATAAAGTAGGCGGCTGTTGGGTGGGGCGGTCTACAGGGTGTCTAAAAAAACGCGATGGAAATTCAACAGGCTGTTGTGCATCATAAACGTGGCTAAAGAATTCATTTTTTACATAGGACGAAAGAACAGTAATTTAGCTTTTCAATGATACTCTTTTTAAATCGTAACGATGAGAAATGGCCAGATACTCTTCAAATAAAAATTGTCGGTCGAAATCACATTCCTCCACCTTTGCATGGGAATTGCATGGAAAACGAAACATGGACAAATTCCCAAGAGTCAATTAAAATTGAATGTTAAGTTATCTGAAAATGAGCTCAACTCGTCAATCTTCGTCTTAGTGAGACAACACGAAGTCCATTATTGCATTAAACATGGTTCAATTAACCACTAAACAGAGAACATTCGTAGTAATCAAAACGTTTTACGAAACAAAAACCTTGCAGCAGGCTCGCGTTGCTTTTGGATTAATTAACTTTGCATAATTGATGTATTTTCAATTCCCAACGGTGGAAGAATGTGATTTTGACTGACAATTTTATTTGACAAGCATGTGGCCATTTCTTCAGTATCGTTACGGTTTAAGAAAGGTATCATAAAAAAAAAAATAACAGCTCTTTCGTCCGATGTAAAAATTGAATTGTTTAGCTAAGTTTATGGTGCACGAGAGCAAGTTGAATTTCCATAGCGGTTTTTTTGAGACACCCTGTATGTCTAGGGAGTCTTAAAGTCCTCTTTTGCATCGCGTCCCAGTCGCGTCGATCTCGAGAGATCGACGGCTAAGAAATTTCATATCTTCGGTTCAGTGCATGCTATGAAGACAGAAATACCACCATTCGATTCAGAAATAAAAGATTCAACTAATTCCTCCCTATAGTTATAGTCATTATCAACATTGTAGCGATTTATGGGCCTTTGAAAGTCAAACACGATCATATTGTATCAAATTACGCAATTGTCTGAACAAAAATATTGACTAGCCATACCTTTCGCCGAAAATAACTTCGGCCCCTTCGAACATATCGTCTTTGTAGTATTCTTGTTAGAATCCCCATCAAAAACACTATCTACAGTGTTATTTGTAAGCCTGTATCTTCAAATCTGTATCTTTTATCAATATATTTCCATTTCTTGTCCGACTGTGAGCTCGAAGTGAGTTAATCCCAACCGGAAATACGACCGAAAACCGTCAAAACAATGCGACGTTTGTATCGTATGACCCTGCAAAGGCCAGAAATGGATTCGGAAGGTCAAATTGCACCTACACGCGTGAGTTTGACGTCATCCCGGCCACAGGAGCTTCTTATTGGCCAATTATTGCGCAATGTACGCGAGTGCGAGTAAAAACCAGATATCAGCCGATATTTTGAAAAATTCAAAATAAATATTTCGACTGGCCGTATTCATACGAAACTTTCTACACGAAAGCGCTTGAATACAAAGAGTGTTTTACTCATATAGCCTTTTAGAAAATGACAAAAAGTTTAGAAAATATTCAACTTTTTCTCGATATCCAATACAGAATGTTTTGCCAAGCGGTGAGTACAAACTATGATTGTTTCGGTTTGTGTAATGTCTTGACGGCACTTGACCCCCCGTTCGAAAGGTTATTTTGTGATGATCTCAATGGTGGGTTTTGTTTTAAAGGGGGGTAAATACCCGCCGAGATATTTACATTAGAAATATTGACTCGTAATGTAATGTGAAACCGCGTGTCGGCAAGGGGATGCGAAGGAGTTTTATATTGCTTAGATATATAGCAACACAACTGAGCTCTGTAACTAAATTATATTGTATCGCTACTTTCATTCTTCAACAAGATGTCTTCAAGATTTAAGATGGCAAATAAATAATCGGTTTTAAGAAAAAGTACGTCATTTTCGACAATAACCAGGCTATAAGGTAGACCAGGTTGATGAAAAATAACTTGAAAGCTCAGAGTGGAGGAAGGAGAGCAGAATTGATATTTCAAATAAGCAAAGTAACCGGCGGTAAACCTCGCGGTACCCGCCGGAGCTCCGGTGGCCGCCGGCTTATTTTGAAAGCCCTGGCTATTCCATTTAATGGAATAGCCCAATCGTCCCAGGTATATCGGCAACAAAATGAATTCTAAACAAAGGCCTCTGGCCATGTCTAATGCATCATCACCTTAATTGACCTTTAGATACATATATTCTGAATAAGAGAAAAGAATAAATGGTCGGCTGAATGATTGACTGAAAGGTGTAAACTGTTGATGGAAATTATCGAGCATTTTATTAGACCTATATAACCAGGAACAGCTGCGAAAAATGTAACTTTAGGTCCTTGGCAGGAATTGAACCTGTGACCCAGTGATTCTGGTGCAGTGCTCCAACCAACTGAGGTACAGAGGCCAGTTGTCAAACTGTAACCACAAGCTCACATATATATAAATATAGGGTTTTAGGTTGTGGGTAAATATTAAGATTTTGTTGGCAAACTGCATGGTTAAGTCGACTAATAAAATGTATATATAAATTTCCACTTGATAATTTCCATTAACAACACCCTTCAACTATCGAATCGAGAAAGACGCCAACAAAATCTGAATGATTGATAGACAGACAGTGGACAGGTGGACTGATAGGCTAACTTAGGGGAACATTAACTAAATTCAAATCCACAATGCTACATCACCTTTTTAGAATCTCCAGCAGTTCTCCATCATTTCGTTTCACACCAGCATGCATATGTCGACTCTTGTTAATACACATCTGAAAGAACAATTAATATTCCATAGTATCGATAGAATATTTAGTGCATATTATACCTTCCACCTGTGGTTTGATTTCCTGGTTTAAATATTCCTGTAATATGTATCATTATTTGAGTGAAATGTTGCATGCATGTGGTACAGAGTGCTTCCAGGCTGACTTTATACCAATTGCAAACGTCAGGTATACACGGTTGTAATGAAATGATCGATATACAAACATATAGTGTATAACCTACACATTACAATACTGTAATCTAATTATTGTCACTCGTCTGAGCTGTTGGAATCACTGTGAGTCGCTGTGCTAATTAACCAACAGGCTTTAAGACATGGAGCTAGGGCTTATATTTGGAATGGCCTGTGTGTTAGTGAATATAGTGGGCTTATACACAGGGGGCCTATATCGGGGGAAGGAGGGTTATATTTTAAGGTTTACAGTATATTACTAACCAGTATCCAACGTTTCATATATTAGAATGTCAGGGTTTGTAATCCAAGTGGAATATATACATTTTAAGACCTAACCAGGAACGACTGCGTAAAATGCAGCACAAGGTCCTCTGGTAGGAATTTAACCTACGGCCCTGCGAATTCCGGTGCAGGGCTCTAACCAACTGAGCTACAGAGGCCAGCTGTTGAGCTGTAACCGTAAGTTCATGTATATATAGATAATCCAGGGGTGTATATTCTTCTATAACCCCCCCCCCCTGGGGTGGGGGAAAAGAATCAATGGGTCTTAGGGCTAGGGAAGAAAATCAAAGAAGAGTAGAAAAAATGGAAAGGCAGAGGGAAAAATTTCCGTGGGTTTTGTAAGTTTATATATATATATATATATATATATATATATATATATATATATATATATATATATATATATATATATATATATATATATATATA